GACATAGGTTGGTAGAACACCTTCTTAGGCATGAAGGAGTTGGAGACATATTAGATTAGATTACATAAATAGTGAAGGATGTGGGATGTTATAGCTTTAGCAAAATTAGCTCTGGTTAGAAAAGAATGGAGGTGCCTGCCCAACCAGTCTAAGGGGTGACGACCTTACAATAATGATGATGATCGAAGACAAGAAGTATATTATGTCTAATTTTCCAATTTAGAGCGTACCAAGTCAGCTAAATGATTTATAGAAATTATGATAGATAACGTAAGAAGATATCTCATGAATTTCCTAAACATAAAGGTAATTTTCACGCTAAATTGTAATCTAGATTAGCTCTGTGTGTGCAAAATCCACGCATCACTTCTGTTTCAAGTATGAATCTAAACTCTGAAAGAATATGGTAGGAAGTGAAACTTTTAACGTTTTTATGAGAATTGATTGTGTTGTCCTTTGCTTTAAGAAATTTAATTTGCATATTTGAAATAAAACTAAAAATAATCTAAACCGAATTCTCACTTCGGAAAAAAAAACTATTCAAACTGGTAACTCGACACTTTAAGTCTGGACACTGTTTTTTGGCCTTCTCACACGGGTGTGTAAAACCCTCTAATCCACATGTCTAAAACTAATGACGTATAGACGCCGAGACGAGGAGGCATAGCATTAAGAACGGAAACCAATTTGAAAAAAATGGTCCTCCTACATCGCCCGTTGTTTCTTTGTCGCGAAAATTTTTGCGTTTCAACAAAAAGAACAAGTAAACGAAAAGCAGCAAAAAGCGTGGCTATAAGTCGTCTTGCGTCTTGTGCCCTACAACCCGTCAGCAAATTACCTTTCGATTGTGTCGGTCATTAGGGGAGCACTTGTCACGCCCTTTAAGATACCGACGCGACGCCCTCGACTGGCGCTGCCCTTTGATCTCTGAACGACGCTTCGGGTATTTCCAAGTGAAGCGTCTAAACTGCTATTTTCACTAGTGTGCTTTACATCTTTACAATCGACACAAAACAGCAAGAACACTTACTTCCATATTATTATATGCAAAACGCCTTGTATTAAGTACAAAATTTCAGGGAATATTGATGTCTGTTTAAAAACTATGTGGAGATTTTCTTATCCCTTTTTAGGGTTCCGTATGTCCGAATTAAAAACGGAACCCTAATAGGATAAGTTGTGCGCCTGTCTGTCCGTCTGTCACAGTCAATTTGCTCCGAATCTACTGGACCGATTACGTTGAAGTTTAGTACACATATGAATTTATGTGACCCAAACACGGACGCATAACGTAAATAATAAATTAATTTTGAACATGGGGTCATTTTTTGGGGGTCAATAGGAGATTAAAAAAAAAGTTGTACATTGTGATACAACAAATGAAAGGGCTTGTTGTAAAAATCTCAAATTTATAATTTAAGCGTAACTAACCCTTTAAATCAGCGGTCGGGGAACCGGGGTAAATTACCCCAAATGGGGTAAAAATGAAATTTTTGGGGGTNTTAGTAGACTTCCTCGTAACGCTGTGGTGTTGCTCTTTAATTTAGAAACACCAACTTTAAAACTATTTTACACAAACTTACTTTTTACTATTAGAGAACGATACCTTCAAATTTATGGAAGTATCTATGTATTGATACACCTATATTTATGTAGACATTATCCGATAAGGAAGTGCCCATTGATTCTGATTTAGTCAACTTTCCAAAGTTATTGCTCGGTTATTGTTCTCTTTCTGGGAAATGTTTATCTCTGACGAGAAGACTGGTCTTGTATTTTATTTATTGGTTATATTATTAAAATTATCGAGTTTTAAATTATCCCTTCAACAGCGTTTTTATGCGATATTATGAGATACCTGCATTCTTTTAGTGGAAATCCTGGAATGTAAAAAGAAACAATGCTGATAAAAAATGTGTAATTTCTATGTTCGATGAATGTTTTGCCGAATTGGAACGTTCTAAGAATGACCTGTAGTTCCACTTTTCGAATCGGCGAAAACCGATTTAAGTTTAAGGACTGACGTTAATTTATCGCTTTTCCTAAGAAGAAATGGAAAAACGATGGCGGATAGTTTGCTTCGCCGAATGTCACTTGTTCAATGNTGCCCATTGATTCTGATTTAGTCAACTTTCCAAAGTTATTGCTCGGTTATTGTTCTCTTTCTGGGAAATGTTTATCTCTGACGAGAAGACTGGTCTTGTATTTTATTTATTGGTTATATTATTAAAATTATCGAGTTTTAAATTATCATTTAAACGAGTTTTTTCGTCTAATAATACAAGAAAAATATCATATGAATTACAAAATAACAAGAAATTATCATTTATATATTCTGTGGGGGCGAATTTTTTTTCCTCAACTGTATTTTACATATATTACTATTATTACCGTTATGTATTACTAGGTATTACATTGATAAATTGAATAAATAATGTCTAAATTAAATTTTTAGCTATTGTTTTCTTTTCAAAATTATCATGGGGGCTATAATATGAACGATGCTAAAAAGAGGCGATTTTGTTTTTTTTTGCTCTTCGCCAACTTATTGGGGGTTATTGGGTTAAAAAGCTTATGTTTAAGCATGCAGTGACCCTGTATCGTAGGGGGTCTAGGGGGAACTCTTCCAAATTCACTTATGATCAGTCCGCTCCTGTGTGGGAGTAGGATAGTAACTGTGCTTGTGTCAAATAAAAGCTATGTGGGAGGTGGGATAATTAGGACCTCAATGATCTCATTTATTTATTTCTCATAAGAAGCTTAGAAGAATATAAAAGCATCCCATACAACAGTATGTAATTCTTGTAGCGTTTCTTTTCGATTATCTCAACCAATTATCGAAGTATTAGTAAATGCAAGCTTTATAAACAAAAAGAGATCTAAACAATTACTTAAATAATAATAATAATAAAAGTCACTTCCTTTATAACCCTCTTCAAAAATCAATTTTGTGTAAAGGCTTTTTACGTAAGTGATATGAGCACGAAACACAGAAAAATATTTATTTATTTTATTGTTATGTGGGTATTTTCGAATAAGAACTCCATATTTAAGGAATGGAAACGTTCATGTGTAATTGATTCCTGTTATTGAAATATCTTTACTTGGGTTAGTAGCCGAGTGTATATACCTCAACTTTATTAATCATCTCCCACATTGCGCTTATTCAAGTGCTTCGTTCAGAATTTATATTCCACCTACTATTATATTACTCCTACTACGCCATTCATAAAGAGAAAAAAGAAACAAATAGATATACTTTTCAAAAAAAAAAAAACATAAACAAGTTGATACAATTATATACCTTTGAGATTGGATGAATGGAGTTAAGTTACGCTAACTGCCGTGCCAAAATTAAACATAATACATGTCAAATACCGTCCCATATAATAAATAAATAAACGATATAAGCAGTTATAACTAAACCGAAAATCAGACAACTAATAAGTCCTTCTTCTCTTAACTTTTATTTTTATTAAAAAAATCAATGAAAACAAGGATAGGGATTATTCATTTAAAGTTATTATTATTCGGATCTTCGGTCAGGATAAGTAAATTTTCGTAACATCAATGAACTTATAACAAATATATATATATTCCTTTTTTGGATTTTAATTTTTAAATGTAGCATATACACTAATGGCAAGTATAGAACCGACTATAGAAATATTCTGCTATATATTCAGTCATCATCTTTTGAAAAATACAACGTGATATAGGAAAATCAGTACAAATACCTTCAACTATTATTTTTAAATAACACATATGACGTGTAACAAAATATGTTTCTCTTTGGAAGTCTTTTACGTTAAACAGAACCTTTATGAAAACTATACAATTTTAAAATAGCATTGAAAAAGTTTTGTTAACTTTTTACATAATGAAAAGAAGAACACCTTGAGGATACCTAATAAATTAACGTTCAGCGATTTGCATAGCAGATATTTCATTCTAATGTAAGTGATTAACTACTTTCCTTATTTCATCAGAAACAGCTAGACATTACTATGTATTTGTTAAAAATTTTAAATGCTTAAGTAAACTGAAACAAATGAAGCCATACGACGACGCATTATTAATACTCAGTTAACTCAACTTTTTATTTATTATAATGTTTTTATAATTATTCAATTTATGAATTGAACAAACTATCGTTTTGGAATTCACTTCTTTAATACCTAATATTGCTTTCCTTTTTATTAATATCAATATGAAAATTCATTTTAATCAATTTTTATCCACTACAAATTGTCTCAAATTAATCAGGAAAAATTGTTGTTGCTGTTCCTCGCCGGGAAACAAACCCGGGATCTTTAGCTTTACGCAACAATGCTACGAAAGGTGACAGAACCAACAACGACGAAAGAAATTTATTAAATTATAGATTTGTCGAACTAATCTACCTATACATATTAATATCATACGAAATACTTTAACAAACTTTTAATAGTTTCATTAATTAGAGGTAATTTGTAGAGTGGATAAAAATTAAATGAATTTTCACATTAATATTAAATATTAACCACTATTAAAAGTTTCTTAAAGAATTTCATATCAATCAATTCAATATCATATTTTTCATTATCTGCATATAAAACAGAGGTACTTTTCATAGGGGAACTAATGGAGACAAAGTTCAAGATCCTGTAGTGCATTTAGACGAACTTTTTGTTCGATTTTGCATAAAAAGAAAACTCCGCAGATAATTTTAATTTATTTAACGCGTTTAATGATTTTAATAAACAATTTTATGGTTTACATGCACTATTCTCATTTAAAACTTGTCCTTCGGTGCACGAATACTGCCACCCCCCACGAAGCGGATGTATGCATATTTGGTAGATCTCAAATCAAACACATTTTAAGAGCGTGCTTTCATGATTATGACATAGTTAAATGCGAAAACTTTGTATTTTGATCAGCTGAGCCAACTTCCATGAGACGGCGGATCATAGATCCCGATTCTCTCGTGTCTTTCATTATTTTACGAGTTGGAAGTTTCGAACACAAGGTTCGTTTAGCGCAAACAACAGCGAGTGAATGCGGCAGATGGACGCATCGCGACGCGTCGGCCAGGAATCTGGCCTGGAGCGGAAAACTTCTTCAACGGCGCGACGGCGACGTCCGCGTCGGCGATTTGTAGTCGCTTGATACGAAGGTAGACATGCTGTATAAACGGCAGTTATTAGTCAACTGGCGCATCGCGACTGTAACTGACTGAAAGCGCGCGTTTAATAAAAAAAAATATAAGTATAAACGCATGAAGAATAATTTGCACTAATAATCTCGGTCATTTCGCCTGCAAGGAAAAGCTTTTCCGTTTCGTTAAGGAAAAAGTGGCGCGGCGGAACTGTGAAGTTCGGAAGTGAAAGTTTTTTAAAGTTTCCCCGTTCGCGCGACTCCATCACGAGAGCTCGTTGTTGTAAAGTGATTTAAACTAAAATCCGCTCTCTTTTATAGTTCTACGTAAGAGTAATAATCTTCTGTTTGTCATCCCTTCTTAAAACATTTTATTGCTTTACAACTTTTAGGTAAAATAATACCAACTTCTAAAAACTTAGCGGTAACTAACTCATAACAGAAGTCATTTGACATAAGACATAATCTGAGTAAAATTGAGAAATTATGAGTTATTTTAAACTATTAAAAAGTGCAATTTAGAAAAATTAAAAATCATCAACTGGTCTGTTGTCGCTTATTCTGCATTTGATACTGATCTCCTCCACTATTCGAAAATCATATAGAAAACTTATTGTAANAAAATATTGTTTTTATTGTAGGTTTTATTTATTTATTTTGTTATTAAGTATGACGAAACCTAAGGGTTAATAAATCAATGGTCTAATAGCATTTCTAGTTATGAATGCTATACCTACAGTACGTATTAAAACAAAATATAGGTCAGGACTAAAGAATGATTTTAGTGTTTAAAAAGTAGCGCAAATAATAAGAACTGAGTAATGTAATCTAGATATTTCTCATAAATCATCAATGTTACACTAGATTTATGTTTAAAAAAAAACCCTAACGTTGGAAATTAAATTTTCGTATTATTTTTTGTTTATGATTTTCCTCAAGGAATTGTTCCACATTATTACAAATGTTCTGTTTTCGACGTTCCATCTGTTATGTCATACCTTCTACTGACAATTTCAATTATTTTCTCGGATTTCTTCTTTCTTATGCTTACCGTTCCCGATTTCGAGCAGAATTTCAGTAATAGCCATTGCCAAAAAACTTTCTTGCTAAATTTAAATTCAATCTGTTATTTCTTCTAGGCAAATATTTATAAGTATGATTTTATGACAGTTACAGTTTACAGTCAAATGCGTTAACACAAACATTCCCGAATATATTTAAAAACTTAATGAGGAATTGCATTCAAATATGCAGGAGATGAAGCTGTAATGCAAAGAAACAGTTTAACAAAAATCATGTCTGTAGTCTACAGCTTCCAATTTATAACAAGAAACAATTGTTTCTTTTAATGTTTCGCTTCGGAAATAAACGATTTCATTTTCAATTTTCTTCAATTGTTCAATAAATCAGTCGACTGCGTCGAAGTACAAGCTGTATACGTTTTGTAGAGATTTATTTCTTAGAAATACAGATGGAAAAGGGAAAATGATAAACAATGACTTCAGCTCAAAACGGTCATGATTTTCGTTATTTTATTTCTTTGAAAAGTTAGTTATTGACTTGCGTTAGGTAAAAAAAGATATCCATAATATACGTATAATACCTAACACTTTAGGATATTTCGACCTTTAGCAATATCAGTTTCATCCAATCTCTATCTATTTCATCTTTCCTCCTAATTAGCTATATACATGAGCAACAGTATCTATTAATAATACTATTATTAGAAGACATTTTAATAATATGATGAGCAATAAAAACGAATGGATATTGATTTAATTATTATTTATTACTAAAATTTCCGCTATAATGTCATTATCCTTTATAGAACGTGATTTATCATTATCCTTTATAGCAGGTGATTTTTTTTCTTTAAATTCTTTTACGGATTAGCAAATTATGTTGTTTTGGTTGCACGACTTTTGACAAGTTTTTGTTAATTAAGGCAAAATTTTTATGACACATCAATACGATCCCAGATGTGTAATAATGTCCTCCCTCCTACAGCGTAATAACTGGTCGAAGTCACTATAGNTAATGAGGAATTGCATTCAAATATGCAGGAGATGAAGCTGTAATGCAAAGAAACAGTTTAACAAAAATCATGTCTGTAGTCTACAGCTTCCAATTTATAACAAGAAACAATTGTTTCTTTTAATGTTTCGCTTCGGAAATAAACGATTTCATTTTCAATTTTCTTCAATTGTTCAATAAATCAGTCGACTGCGTCGAAGTACAAGCTGTATACGTTTTGTAGAGATTTATTTCTTAGAAATACAGATGGAAAAAAGGGAAAATGATAAACAATGACTTCAGCTCAAAACGGTCATGATTTTCGTTATTTTATTTCTTTGAAAAGTTAGTTATTGACTTGCGTTAGGTAAAAAAAGATATCCATAATATACGTATAATACCTAACACTTTAGGATATTTCGACCTTTAGCAATATCAGTTTCATCCAATCTCTATCTATTTCATCTTTCCTCCTAATTAGCTATATACATGAGCAACAGTATCTATTAATAATACTATTATTAGAAGACATTTTAATAATATGATGAGCAATAAAAACGAATGGATATTGATTTAATTATTATTTATTACTAAAATTTCCGCTATAATGTCATTATCCTTTATAGAACGTGATTTATCATTATCCTTTATAGCAGGTGATTTTTTTTCTTTAAATTCTTTTACGGATTAGCAAATTATGTTGTTTTGGTTGCACGACTTTTGACAAGTTTTTGTTAATTAAGGCAAAATTTTTATGACACATCAATACGATCCCAGATGTGTAATAATGTCCTCCCTCCTGCAGCGTAATAACTGGTCGAAGTCACTATAGTACCTACTAATAAGGTGATCAAGGCTCTACTATGCGGTAATGAAGTATTTAATTGAAACTATGTTTGAGAAAAATATTATCTTTATAATAACACCAAAGAGACGAATACATTTGAGTTCTCATTGTAATAATGCATCTTATCAATATATATCACAATTTTGATGATAAGGATCTTTTAGTTAAACAGTTACTTTGTTAGTCTTGGTTTACAATTATTAATTGAAAAAATCTTTCAGAGAAAAAACCCATCATCACTTTCGTATTCTCGTCTTTGCTTCAACGATTTTATACAGAATGGTAGAATTTCATTGACAACTTTTCCTCTTATCAATTTTGACATGAATCGTAGTATGTATTAGTAGGTTATACGGTTTATACAGAACATCTTTAAAAACGTTCTCGTGTTAACTGTAAGTCGAAAGATATACAAAAATCAAAACGTGAAAGCAAGAACGTTTTCTGCCATTGACACCTAAATCGTTTTTCCGACTCTCCACCTACTCGTCTTTAACATATTTTCTATCTCGTTTAAGCGTGTCCCGACAACCCAGATTTTTCTTTATGAAGGAATAATGTTGACAGCATGTCACTACAAGTCTTCTTATCAAATAGGTAACCCTCTCCAGGACATATACTTGATTGCGAAACGACATCCGACTTTTTAAACAATTTATAAAAGTTTATTCGTTAGTGTATTCGACTTTTTGGATTTTGGTGGGAAACATTCCCAGAATAGACCCATTCATGTCTAAACTACAGAGACCAATTGGGTCGTTAATGTCAACAACATCTTTCAAAAAATATGACAAGTACCTTCACTAATCCTTTCATATAAATAATAAGGCAATATAAGTTCAGCAAATGCAACATAAACCTTTTGAGGGATTTTACCCTAATGGTCAAAAGATTTTGAGTATTCGGTCAATTTTGGATACAAGATAGACGTTGTTAAAAAAAAGACATATTCCACACGCTCATGCGACATGACATCTAAAAAAAATATTCATTTTCGATTTTTTTTTAGATCAGAAATGGCATCTCCAATAGTCTCATCGTTAGTTTTTTCCGATTATTAGTAGGCTGTGTTTCATTTATCATACATAGAAGTAAGAGACCTTTTGATCTTTAAACTTTTCTTATGGGTGGTGTTGAAAGGAGCGCTATCAATCCTTTGACGACTTTTTTCGCTTTTGCGTGACAACGACCTCCATCATGTCAAAGTCGAGACACACATCGCTCCCTTCGGGCGCGCCGCGACGCCGTATACATGCAACTTATTTACGCTTTCACTACCGGATTATGTTTCCTTTGATAAGAAACAGATTCCGGTTTATTGGACGTGGTGTCTGGAGCAAGCCTCTAACACGTTTTCTTTACCGTCTACTTTTTGAGATTATAAAAACGTGCTGGAAATTCTCATCGCCAATTAAATCTTACACATACAAACGTCTATGTGAATATATATACATGCGAACAAACAGAATACAAAAGGTCTTAGCAAATAACGACACCCCAGGTAGGCGTAAAGTCGTCCTCAATTCAAAAGTTGTGAAAAACATTTTTGATCGCAAAATTTTTGCAAAAATTCCACGGTAAAAAGTTTACAGTGACTGAAAATTAGCGAGCCAGTGGCTACAGTTCCAGTGCGAGTTCAGATCGCTTCATTTTAAAATGAACTATAAAATTACTAAAAAATGAAATAGCGTCATTTCTATTTATGAGACTACTTAACATATTCAAAATTCTACATTAATTCATTAAAATTATGTCAATTTATCATGAAAGTGATTGCAATAGAGTCAATATGTTTGAAATTCTCTCGCTATCTAACTTTATATGAGCAATCACCTTTCGAATATCTAAACATCAATCGGATGGAGGCTTTCTTTTGATCTTGACGATTGAATACTCACCCCATTAACATGGCTTTTATGTTCGCAATATTTTAGGGTATACAGCTCTTAAAACACCTTTTCCTTTCTGAAAATTTCGGTTATTAAATTTAGTGAATGCAAACACAAATGTCATTGGTACTTAAAATATTCTATGTAACTACTTCTCCGAAAACTAACAACATTACAAAGTTCCGCAGCAGAGGAAAAGTTGAATACGAAAGGAAGTTGTTTCTGCAACTCATAAGTGACATTTAATTCGATTAACAGTAGATGTTGTTAAATTAAACAAGTTTTAAGGGAGGGAATATTATTGAGCAAGTAGTAGTAACTTAATGTCGCCTCTTAAAAATGTAGTGCAATAAATACAGTGTAATTCGCTAGTGAGAACCTCAATTACACTTTATTTGATAAACTACCTGGTCGATTTTCTCTAATCCTCTTAGTAGACTTCCTCGTAACGCTGTGGTGTTGCTCTTTAATTTAGAAACACCAACTTTAAAACTATTTTACACAAACTTACTTTTTACTATTAGAGAACGATACCTTCAAATTTATGGAAGTATCTATGTATTGATACACCTATATTTATGTAGACATTATCCGATAAGGAAGTGCCCATTGATTCTGATTTAGTCAACTTTCCAAAGTTATT